AAGCAACTTTTTGCTTTTGGGAATGTGAATTCTTTTTATTAAACGGTTCTAAATTTGGCGTCTTATCAAGATTTTGGCGATTGACCAGTTTCTATAGAAAATTTTTAATTCAGAGTTCTGGGAATTTTTCGGCGATTTTTTAAAAACATTGATAAATTTCATTAAAATAATGGTAATATATTGAAATTCTATATAAAAATAACATTTAAATTAAACATTTTTATTTCTTGCTGTCCTATTATAAAGTTCAATTTTGGCTAGTTATTATACAATATTTTGAATCTGAAAAATAAACAATGTATAATGCTATAAAGCACAATTTACAAAACAGTTCTTTGTAAAAGCAAAATAACTATGTAATTAATTTAAAATGTCTTTTTTTTTTTTTCTTTTTCCAAAATATTTCTGGCTTTTTGCTGTTACAGAATTGATAGGGATAATTTTTCTTTAGGATTTTTGACATTGCAGCTTTGGAAGGTTTAGAAGGATTTGAAGACAAGATTGATAGACCCACAATTGTAAAAGATTCTAGAAAAATGTGAGAAAATGAAAAATATCTTCATGGTTTTAACACGTAATTGATGTATTTTACAGAAAGTTTGCGATGAATTTCTTACTTTTTGGAGAACATCTGGAAGAATAATGAAAACATAATATTTGAATATTTTACTTCTGATATGAGAATCTTTTTCTTAACACTTATATGTTCCTTTATTTTCTCTACTCTTCACTAGCACAAGCATAGAAAAGATCTAAAGTTCTTCTAATCTTATCACATGGACAATCATTTATACAAAAGAATTTTTCTATTGATAAAGAAATTTAAAACTGACAATTTAAATGATTCATCTATGACTTAATGCATCATATACAGGGCTGGCGCTAGGCATTTTTCCACCAATGTGGAAACCAGTTTCCTCTGTGGATCCTAAATTCTGCTGCCTAGTGCCTTTCTAAATTCTGTTTCCATTGCCTGCTCTAAATTCTTAGGTATGCCATTTTTAGTTTCTGTGGTTTGGTGTGTCACTAAATTCTGCCTCACCAGCTCTGTAATAGTCCTTATCATATACATTTCATATTTCTTCTGATGTTCATATTACAAATAAAAAAGCACTTTTTTTTAATACATTTAAAATTCATTTAGTTTTTCTTAATAGTAATGGAAATCTTCAGTTAAATCCAAAAAAATCTAAAATGGGAAGGAAACGTGTTGAAGAAAGAAGCTGAATACATAAAGAGGAAAAAAAAATTATTTTTCAAAGATCTACAGTTAGTTTTATGTAAATTAGCCAGTTGTTTCTAATTTCAGCCTTTATTTTAATTTCCCATTTCTGTTTCCTCACCAGAAGGCAAATCACTTGGACAATTTTTAAACTGAGGTTTCTGGAGTGTAAGACAGGGTGTATTTCTGATCTCCGTTTGCTCTCTGCATTAGTTCCTGCCAGCTCTGATAATTTGTAAATATTTGTCTTTGCATTATAGCTGCCGACATTTGAATTTATTATGACAATAGTTACTGAGCCAGCTTAAATTAAAATTAAATTGCATAGTCTTTGACCACTTGTCCACATTTTTAGTTTTAATTTGGCTGTTCTTGTTTAATTACATCACCACAAGCTGCAGCTGATTTTGATAGTATAAGAACATGTCTTTATGTTCTAAGTTCTTTTTAATTAAGAGGTTTATTTAAACCTTTTTAGATACTTTCATTCATAGCGATAATTTGCTTCATGTCTGTCCCGGGCTTTTGGACTATTTAAATTTAACCAGATTAAGTAAACCCTCATAGCTACATTGTGAATAGGTTGATAACTTATTATATTAATTATTATAACATGCAGAAACTAGATTATTATAACACGCAGAAACTAGTGAGAACACTAGTTTGCATATTGAGACAAATATGTCATTGTTAGAAAAGATCCTTAAAGAGAAGAAAATCTATATAAATTAGCCAAAATATCTGTGAAGGCTTCAAATTAAAAAGACTTGTAAATATTTTGTTGAATGTTGTTGTTACAAGATGCAAATGTTTTTTAACTTTTGATATGTTATTATCTTATCCTTTAACCCTTTGAGGTTGGGTGCATAAAAAAAATTTTTTTTGGAAAAAATAACTTTACACATAGATAATTAGGCTCTAATGTTATGTTATTTCATGCAAAAAAAAAAAAAAAAAAAAAAAAAAGGGCAGGTAAACCTTTAAGGTAATTTATGACGTGGTGGGATACCGTTTGTTCCACCGTGCATGTAGAGTAGTAAAATGGCATCTTTGCCTGAGTGTAAATTCTCCTAACATGTTTTTCTAAAGTGCTAGTCTTACCAACCAAATGAAAATGCAAGATATAAAAAACGTTTTTGAATAACTATCTAGAAAATATTGATCATATCCGCAAAATATTTTTCAAAAAATTACATAATTTAAAAAGAAAATTGCTGTCTGTACGAGTTTTTAGATATTTTTTAATGATTTCATAATAGATTTGAAACTGAGATTTTTGCTCCAGGACTTAATTTGCTACAGGTTTGAAAAGGAAGATATTTAGAAGGCAGTGTTGTTTATTTACATTTCACCTCTCTTTCCTCTGCTTAGGATATTTTTCTATGGTGAATCACACTCGCATATCCATTCAGTATTCAATGAAATTCATGTTCATATTTTCATTTCTTTTGGAAAAAATACTAATTATTTTTCAAGTTTTAACATTATTACAATTTATTTAAAAAAAATAAATTTGCATTATCAACATAGAAAATGAACATACTTGAATTTAAAAATATTTGAATGGTGCTGCCATCTAGTAGTACCAATTCCTACATGCACGGTGGGGCATATATGTACCACCTTTTTAATTTCAACCATTCTTAATTAATATAAATGAATTCAATATATTTTATTAGAAAAGGAAACTTTCGCATAAAAATATTCATTCTAACAACAAAAGTTGTTGTTCAGACAATTTAAATTTCATTAGAAATTAAGAAAAAAAAAACCTGCTTCAAAATGAGACCTGCAAAGAATATTTATTTTATACTATTTTCATGAATGAATACTAATGCTGCCATCTGTTGTACATTTAGAGATCTAAAAGCCATAATTGTATGTATTTTAAATGGAATTTTGCAGCTTTCACCTGGGAGATAAAACCTGATAAAAAGGGTGGGACGCCTGGTGCCTGTCAAAGAGTTAAGAATCAGTGTCATAACTTACTTGTATTTTAAACTGTGAAATTTTGTTAGATTGTGATTTTAATGGGCTTTTTCAACAAATATTTTTAAAAAATAAGTAAGGTTATCTAACTACTTAAAAACTATCTTAACTACTTTTAAAAAATAAGTAAGGCTATCTAATTTATTTATTTATAACTGCTTACCCTTAAAATTATCTCTGCATATTAAAGCAAGTTATTGCCTTGCATTAATCCTTATCGTGGTCACATGATAAAACACAAAAGGTAAAAATTCATGTGAAACTTATTCTTTGCATCTAGTGAATACTTAAAATCAGCTAGTAATGTGGTCTTCAGCTGGTGGAACATGCTAATTCTACTATTTAAAAACTTCCTATAAATACTGTTCCTTTTCTACCTCATTTGAATACACGTGAAATAGAAATTAGCTTTCTGGCAGGAAAATGGAAAGTTAGAAGGATACTAAAGGTCATGAATATAAAAAAATAACTGGTTTATAAAATTAAATGAATACAAGTTTTTGACTGATTTAGTAAATTAGTGACTTGAGTGCTCTGAGCAGTTGTTTGTGTAGCCTGTTCCTTAATCTGGTGTTGCAGGAGTGTGAGCAGTGTAGCACCCCATTATCCCACTCTCACGTAGGTGTGGTTCAGAAAACGTTTATTGAAATTCCAGCTGATGGCTTATAAGTTTCAAGAATTCAATCTCTACTGAATCTTTGATGTGTATTTGAGCAAATTCTCTGATCAGTGAATATAGTATGAACATCTAGACAGTGCAGTGTTGCAGTAGAGATTCCTTGCAGTTCTTCATGTAGTCCTTTGGCATCTGTTAAGCTGAAGCTTTAGGCTATGCAGAAAGTCATTTGTCTTGATGAGGCGTTGACAGGAAAGTATTTCTGTTGAGCTTTCTCAGACCTCATTAAAAACGTAGGTCCCCAGCAAGTATTTCTTAGGTGCTCTTATTTCTCCCCTTTATTATTATTATTATTTTTTATTTATTTTATTTATTTATTTTTTTTTTTTTTTTTTTCTGTCTGTAATGGAATAGTAAGGTTATGAGGGACAGGAGATTTGGAGCTCCTTATAATTTGGGGCTTTAAGGTCTAGATGCCAGAGCTTTCACTAAACTGTTTAGTATATATCACATGTTCTTTGTTACATCTTATAAAGGCATATTATTCTGTTTAATTAGGATATGTTGAGAGCATAACTTTTGTTCAAGTAAGCAGTGTTTTTGTAATCCATAGCTTAATTTTTTTAATGAAATTGCCAGTTCGGCATTTTAAATTCAAGTATCAGCAAATCATAACTGAAGAACACGACATGCATTTCCCCCCCCCTTTTAATGAACTGTAGCTTTTGCAAGAACAGTAGACACACCATCTGGATGTTTGGGGGGGAGAGTCTGGTTAATTGGCAGTCTTTTTCGTGTGATCCAAATATATATTTAGTGTAATGCCAGTCAGATATTCCCCCCCCCCCATGTATCAGATTTCTACAAAGAGTGTGAAGTAAGAAAACTGAAATATTTTTATTCCCTCGAAAACAAAATATGGATTTAATAATAATAATAATAATGGATTTAATCTCTACGTTTTTGTCATGAAGTAATATTTTAGTCCAGTGCTTCTTGTAATGATTTGCTTATTTCTTTGATAAATTTTATTATTCCTTTGTATTTTAATAGTGTACAGTTAAATGTGTTTATGGGAAAAAGTTATTGCAATTGCTTGCCATTTACCATAACTATTTAAAATTTTGTTCAAATCAAAGTTTGTATTTCTCAGTAATTAATATATTTCTTCAGGTTGGCCCCATAGTAAAACTCACAATGGGCATTGAACCATCATTTTATGTTGATTGTGGGCCACCAACTTTTGCCTTTAACCCATGTGGCCATATGGCCTCTGAGAAGACAGTCAAGTGAGTAATTATTTAACTCTGATAAGTAATTTAAGTCTGTAAGTGTGAGTAATGTCTGGTATAGCTTTAAAATTTTAATTTAGACTACTAAAGTTTTTTTTAAATTAAATTTTGAGTTTATGCTTAATTTTTGATGAAGCAGCGATGGCTACAAGTCGGAAATGAGACGATCTTGGTTGTAGAAATGATTGCCAAAGAATTTAGCACAACTAATTGTTATATATGGCATTATTATTAAATTATTTGTGCATAATTTGACATTTAGCAACATTGTCAAGTTATGCAACTTTAACAGATCTTCATACTACAGACTGTGTGGTAAATTATATTTTTTTAATTTAAGGAGAAATGGATGTTGATTTTACTTCACATAAAATTTTCATAATAAATATTTTGAAATTTAATTATTTTGGCTATTAGAGTTCCTGTGTATGAAATATTATTTCTTGTATAGTTTTTGTTGGATGTACTGTTAACATTCTGTGAAACCTTACCTTAAAATGTTTATGCATGCACATATGTAAACTTTGCTTAAATACTTGATAAGCTTTCTCAATCTTTCTGTCTTGTCTGCTGTAAATATACTTGTTGCCTAATCTTTAAAAAAAGTTAATTTTCAGTAGCAATATGTGCTTAGAATGCCTTTTTCAAATTTGGTGTTACTTAAACTTCTTTTGATTTGCCTCCCATTTTTAGATGCCATTGAATGCTTAGCACCCCCTTCTAGAAATCCACACCTATATATTTTGAAAAAATATGTAGCAAAATGGTTATAGTAGGGTGGATTATTTTTATATTAAAGAAGTGAATAATTAATTTATGATCATATTTAAGTAACTTATGTAAAGAGCAGAAATATGAACTAGTAACAAAATAAAATAATCAGAAGAATGAGTCTGATGAGCTTTTTTTTTTTTTTTTTTCAATTTTTTTTTTTTTTTTTTTTGTTTTTTTTTTTTTTTTTTTTTTTTTTTTTTTTTTTTTTTTTTTTTTTTTTTTTTTTTTTTTTTTTTTTTTTTTTTTTTTTTTTTTTTTTTTTTTTTTTTTTTTTTTTTTTTTTTTTTTTTTTTTTTTTTTTTTTTTTTTTTTTTTTTTTTTTTTTTTTTTTTTTTTTTATTTGGTTCAGTTTTTGCTAACGTTGTTCTCAAATGTTTAGTTACTGTAGTTCCTCGCATATTTTCCTCCATTTTTAACTAATTTTATCCAAAAATCAGGAGGGGAAATTATGCAAATAAATTTAATTTCCAAAGAATGCAGTTACAGTAGAAACATAAAATAAGAAATAGTCATGCATAAACTATTGGTAACTATCACTATGTTATTTGTTTAAAAGAAACTTACATTCCAATAAGAATATATAGTAATATTAACATTGCAATATCTGACGGATATTGAGTTGATGGCTGATGGTGATTGAGCCAGACAGCATGTGGCTGCCCAGTCATGTAAAGTGCAGGGGCACTTCACATGAATGAATCTTGATCGCAGTTTCCAAGAGCCATATTAGAGGAGCGAAGGAGGAGGAGGTCAAACAAAAGACCAGGATTTTGAAAGATTTAACACATCAAATTGCTGCAAATGAGCCAGAACGTAAATAGCAAAAGTAAGGGAAAATCACACGTTTGAAATATTTCTTAAATGAGAGAACACTCACCACAATGATGAAGAATCTGTGCATGTTTCAAATAATAAATGCAAGGAAAAATATACTGGATAAAATGCTAATACAAAAATGGAAATACAAATTAAATATACTGGGAATGGGAAAATGGAAATACAAATGGATAATCTAGGGAATACAGTTTATCAATAAACTAGCATTCAGAAGGGAAAACTATGCCCAACAGAGGAAAGGGCAAATTATACAAATATATATTTAAATTTTCACTACCTAATGCTAGGGGGGGATACAGGAAGAAATATGGTAGTTACCTTTGAGCATTATTTTTTTTTATTATTATTATTATTAAAATTGTTGCTATGCTCAACCTGCAATCTACTAAATAGGGCAAATTTCTGTACTATATTTTGTGAATCAGGATAAAGTTCAGGCATCTGTTTTTGCAGCCAGAACTGTGATATCCACATTTAAATTTCAACTCATTTCTTTTTAACTCTATAACATTTTTAAATGGGGAATTGCTTTTAAAATTGCATTAGAAAATGGGGTCTAAAAAACATTTCAGTGCTACCATTTTTTAAATATCTTTGAAATCTTTTCTTTATGGCTATTTCCAGAGCTTCCATATTAGCAATATGCAAGTATATCTTTGTTTCTCCTGCTAAAATTGACATATTTGGAAAGTGGCTACATTTTTCTCATCCCATTCTTTGGTGCATTTTAAACTGTGCCACAAGTGCAGAAATTACATTTTTTGGTTTTTTATTATATTCATGTTATCTTATAGCTGATGTTCAATTTACTAAATTTATGGAATGAATCTGATAGCTATAAACTATGTCTGTTTTTGAATTTATCATTTATACTCTTAAAACCAGGTCAAACAGGTTCCCTTTGATAGCGAACAAACATCTGTTTGGGGGAGGGAGAATGAGTGAAATCTTCACGTCTTGAATACAAAGTTATCCAAACAACTTCTCATTCAAAGAATTTTCTCTGATGATGAAATAAGATGAATTATGTAAGTGTTCACTCATGTTTTTCAATACTAGATGATGCCAGCAAGCAAATACTGTGTATGGCTAATAAATCTAGTACGATTACTTTAAAATCGCCATAAAACATCAAAGCTTCCACTATTGCTGGAGCACCATCAGTAGCAGTTGACAGTATTTTATTTGGAAGAATTTCTTTCTATTCAAAAAGATCTTTAGCATGAAGTACGCAATTCTCTTTAGCACTATATGGCCTGCATGCTGTCCAGACCTCTGTTTACTGAAGCGTGCCCTGGTATATATGGCATTGGAACAATGCCAGGGTTCGTATGGTCCTTGAGTCCTTAGTTTTTTTTTAATTTTATTTTTGGTCCTTAAAAGTCCTTAATTTCGAGCAAAATCGGCAGAAGGTCCTTAATTAGGTATCTGTATAACTTCACGTTTTATTGCATCTGTATATTCTGACAAATCTCGTGGATTTGATATGTGTACCTTATATTTCAGATACCCTCAGAACCAGGAATCCTTTGGAGTGAGGTCGGGGGATTGCGCTGGCCACAAAATTGCAAAGTTTTGGGAGATGACTATCCCTAAAGTGCTGTTTCAGCAGTTGCCAAACTCTTGGTGACATGTGGTAGAGCATCATCCACCATCTGTATAATGTCATTAATGATATTTTGCTGCTTCTGTTCTGGAATTATATAATTCTGTAACATTTTTGTATAACAAGCACTTGTGATAGAGCATGCTTTCGTACCTGCATAACTGAATTCTTCGAAGAAGTACGTACCGAGAACAAACATGCTTGCTATGCTGCAACATACACCCACTTTAGCTTCGTGGAAAGGGGCTGGTGTTACATCAGGGAGATTTTCATGAGCCTAATGAATACAGTTCTTGGAGTTTACATTAAGATAAGTTCTTTGAGTTTACATTCCCATTATTATTATTACATTCCTATTTCTTCCATTAAGGAGAAATACACCTTATCCATCCGTAATATCTGCGGCAGCCACCTGTTATTTTCATCATGTCTGATGAAGAAATTTGGAAAGTGGACATACTGTTGCTTGTGTTCAGATTACAATGTCTGTATGCACTGGTTTTGATAAGGAAATATCTGTAGAATGAAATACAGAAACTTGAGGCCTGGTTTTTGGTACATCCAAACTGCAGGCAACACTTTTTGCAGTATACAGTGGACCTGCAGTAATTGTTTTATGCACTTCAGCAGTCACTTCAACAGGAACACGTGGTCATCAAAATATGATGTCTATCACATGTGCATCCAGTTTCTTCAAATATTTTGCCAAATTGTATACAGTTTTTACAGAACAGGGCCTTCTTATGATTTTGCTGATAAAGTAGCACTGTTTCGGTAGCATTTTCCAGTTTGAATAAAACAGCTTTATCAATTCACCTCATTGTTTCCCTCTTAGTGTCATCTTGTTAGCATATTCGAACATCTGATTGAGGAAATAATCTTCACACACTGCTAATTTCACAAGCAGTGCTTTGTACATGTGTTCTGTGATTGGTGCTTTTACTGTATAGTCCTGTGAATTATGCAGAGTGTGTTAATGCACTTCCTCTCTGTGTTATTTGTCCTTTATAATGCTCTTCTTTGCAAATGTTTTGTGCCATCAATTTTTGTCAAGTGTAACATTCCAATGCTATTTATGGTTTTTCAATCCACTGATCAATTTGTGCTGGGAAAAAAGTAAATGTTGGTATTTGAAAATTTCAAAATTTTTTCACTGTAGCTATAATTGTGAGAGCCCTGTTGTTTTAAATCATCAATCTCAAATACATACATTCAAATAACAATATCTGAAATTTCGATTGGTTGAGCAGATAGGCCACTAGGGTTCATACATTGGGGAAGTTTTTATCATTACCATGTGTATATGTAATCATGTGTTCTGTAATTTTTCCTTTTCTTCCAAAAAATATAGGTATTGGGCATGTGTCCCGATTCCACATGGTACTAATGGCTTCCATGCTGCTTGTCCATTCTGTGCTACTCCATTAAGTGGAAATCCAGGTTATGCTAGACTTATATTTCAAGATCATGTTGATTGAAGGAGGCCTGTCGAGCAGACTGTTGCATTTGTTTTCTGTGATGCTCTCTGCAATTCCAAGCAAGAGGAACTGATATTGTACCTGACTTAGTGGTGACCATTATATCAATACAAGATTTCAAGCTAAGTGACTCACATTCACATTAGAGGACCACTTAGAGATGAATTTTATTTTGTATTGATTATATTAAGATGTACAATTATGAATATACATTTTGCTTCATGCCAGTAACAATCACTCCCATTTTGCAAGCTCATTGCTTTGCTACTGTCAAAAACAGTATATATTTTTATTTATACTTTTATGTAATCAGAAATTAACTATTTGGAACTGTTTTTTATAATGAACAATTCAAAAGTAGAAGTTCATAGATATTTGTATTATTAGTTCCTTTATGTGCTAAGATTTATGTGTATATATAGATGTAATTTTTATTCTGATTGATCTGTTCTTTTAAATAGTTTAAATATCCTGGCTGTTTCCATGCATGAATCAAATAAAGGAAGAGTTAGCCTTAGTATTTTTTTTTTTTAAGTATGTTGTGTGGCTGGGAAAATTCAGTTTGTTGAGTTGTATTGCTTATTATAATTATTTTAGATAAAATAATTTTCTGAACCGTAAGTCATGGGTCAGCTGTACATTCCTCTCCAGAGGTAAATAAGAGAAGTAGAATAGTATCTCTGAAGAAGGAAAATTCATCTTTCCTGAAGTATTAAATATTTTATGTATACCAGATATGCATTTTGGCCCAGAGGATTATTCATGGAATATTATGTTCTTAATCTGTTTGTTAGTTTGTTTTGTAGTGTAGATGTTTCAGCTGGCTGCAGTAAATTTATTTTTTTATTTGTATTTTTCATTAATATATATTTAAATGTGATTTCTTGAGTGATTCTGCTTAAAAATTATTAAAAATTAATACTATGTTTGCCATAAATTTAAACAAAAATGGGAAATGAGATTTTTATTTGTGTTTTGATTAATACTGAAATATATTACCATTGAAAATCTAAATATTTTAAAAAGAAAAATGTGAAATAAAGCTTAACTTTCAGTTTCAATTTTTTTTTAAGTACTTTTCTTTCATTGTAGAACAAACAGCATTGACTTTTACAACCAAAGATCTCTTTGTCTTAGTTATTTTATTTGTATATATTTCATCCCTTTTAAAAACTTTAAGAAAATCTCTTGCATTCGTCAGTTATGGCTGCAGTCAAAAGCAGTGTGTAAATAAAACTTGCTGCTCCATTTTATTAAAGCATTAGAATATGATGAATCTTATGAAGCATCATGAATAGGTATCATAATAATGTATTTAGTTCATTGCTACTTTTATGATTAACAGATTAGGTAATAGATAACAGGATGATCATGTACAAATCATTCATTACTAAATGTCCATACATGGTCTTATAAACATAATGCAAAATTACTAGAAATTTATTAAGACTTTCAATAATGATCAAGATAGACATAAAAATTTTAGTAATATGATTATTCCTACTTTTTGTGAGGATCCTCTGTTATTAAGTTAAATCATTTAGCATTAATTATTATTGTAGATTGAAAGAAAATTTGTCATGTGATATGAAATGTATTAAATTATTGTAAAGTAATGAAAATTCATGCATGGTAATCTCTATGGTAATTTTTATTAAAATTGGCCATCGGTCTTTCTGAAAGCATAAAACTGGCTTTTAGTAGTGTTGGCTTCTGCTTTGCAGCTTTCTGCAAGATTTAAATTGAGTTTGTGCAAGTACTTCTTCAGGCTGAAACATTGCTCTTCTACTTAAATAAACCCTTTAAAAACAAACACTGTCATGTGCCAGTCATGGGTATCGTAACCTTATTCTCCTTTATATCGGGAACATAATAACCTTCAGTTTTGTAAATAGAGCATTGAGAGAGAAATTCTGAAATTATTCTGTTCTTGAAATGCTGGGGGAAATATTAAATTGGTGTTTTTAAACATTCTGAAATAGTTTCGATAAAACTGCAAGCAAGCAAACTTAATATTAAGCTCTTTTAAGTTGGCTAGCATTTTAGTTATATTGTAGATAATGGAGAGCTACATTAATATTGTGAAGTTCAGAGAAAAACATCTAGGTGAACTTTATATCTTGGTTTTATTGTTAGATCCTGAATTAAATGTCTTGCTATTTAAGCTGCAAATGCTGTACCAGTGAATATTTGTAGTTATGTGCTGTATCTTATAAATGAATATTGCATTTTCGTTTCAAGATTTTACATTTATTTGATCTTTTCTGTTATGCATTTTTCCTTTTAACATTAATCTTATATGAAAAACCAGCCAAGTAGATCTTTATTGATTACTTTTTAATTCTAAAGTCAAAATTTGTTATTAAAAAGGATATTTTATTACTATTCCTATATTTGTAGCTTTGCTCTTTCCTTTAAAAAAAGAATACATCTTGAAGCGAAATGTTTGAAGCCTTGGCTGATTTAATGTATCTTTTATCTGTACTTTGAAAATGAATTCAATGAAAATTGAAATGTGAATCAAAACTGATATATACTAACTGGAAAGGAAATGTTTTTCTACTTCCCCTCGTTGGTTTAGTATGAAAGTCAAAATGCATTTCTTAGAGTTCTAGGTAATCTTTTGTCAGTAGCAAAGCAGAAAAATAACTGAAATCTATAAATGCTGGAAGATATGTTTATACTTCATGTTTTTTCTTAAAACAACATAAGGGCAAATTTAGTTACAAATATAGCTGAGATAAAGAGTAGTAAGAGTTGTAAATTTATCATTTATATTACATGTAAAAGATTTTGGGAAAATCGGCAATTAGTTTTTACAGAATTTATAAGGGAAAAAAGTAATGTAAAAGCATGTTTATTGTTTTCATGATATCAATAATAAGTGTGTTTAATAGTTTTTGAGTTTTAATTGATGTGTATAGTTTATTTCTAAATGTTACATGAATTGTTAAATTTAAGAAACATATTTTTATACAGAAATTAGCATATGTCTTTTATTGTTCCAAATGGATGCATATGTAACTTCCATTACTGTTTCCCTTTCGAACATACTTGTAGACGATTTTTCAGAAAAAAAATTTTCTGTTAGATTATTTTTAGTTAGTTGTTTTAATCATGTAGAATTATTTTTTTAAACATCGTACATTTTAACTTATTGCAGCAGTGTATATATAACACACACCTGTAATTGCAAGTAACATTTAAAAATTTTTAGGTATATTAGCCTTATAACATGTACTCTTTCCTTTTCATAGAAACGTGAAAGAAATAAGTGTGATGCTCTTATCTTTTGAAACCATTTATTCAAAGATTTTCCCCAGTTTTTCGAACTATGGTGTACTAAACTGGCATGCATTAAAAGGAATATTGTGTGGGGGGGATAAGTGATTGAGGAAGTAAATAATTCTGCAAAGAAGATGGATCGTGTTTAATGCAGGTATGCATAAGAATGTTATCCTTGAGTTTCAAGGAAAGAGGAAACATTATTTGAGTTAATAATGCACTTCCGACCGAGTGAATTCGTGGAATTAGAAGTCTGAAGGTTATTCTTTCTGTAGTCATTTGAAACTTTGATTTTGACCATCAAAATATTTGGTAAATTGCATTTGCTTTGGTTGGAATGAGGTTGATCTAGTGTTTCTTTTAGTAGTGAATATGGCTCCTGCCAAATGAAACAAACACTGTGCTGGTTTCAAATGTTAAGTCATTCAGTTTCCGAAAGAGAAGTGAAATTGTGCTTCAGCAAAAATGTTTAGTGCTGGTGAAAGCTCCATAGATGAATGTAAGAAAAATGAAAACACAGTAATTAATATGCCAAAGATTAAATATGCTTCGCATAAAATTAACGAAATGGCCTGCTATAGAAAATGACCAGAATGGATTAATTTCCTTTTCTATTTTTATTCTAGAGATGCAGTTTACATTTTGATAAAGAAGAAATTGACTGTTTTAAAATCAAAATGGCTGGAGTGAAAAGAACATTTTAGAAGCTGGAAAGGCATAATATAAAGTTTTAATGTTGATGATACAAGTAAAATTTTTAAAGAGTTTAGGCAGTCTTTGAATGCTTCTCAAAGTGGTTGGAAAATGATGAGCAGCTCTATGAGAATCAGACAATCTGAATCTGCAGGAAAAATATATGTATTTTGTGTAATATTACTAATCAAGATATTGATAATTTGAAGAGATTTCAATTTAAAGAAATTCTATAATTGTTTTGTATTTTTGGTTATTATTGCAATAGCAAGCAGCATCACTGCCTGTTTTGCATTGGCTAGAGCAGCAATCTCTGAACTGTTTTGATTACATATACCTAAGCCAAAAATAATTATAAGTTTTACCTTATATTATGTAATATATGTATGCAGGCAGCCACAGTGACCAATAAGAGAAACCTTACACTTACGTGATAATGATCATGCACTCGTAAGTGATCATTAGCCTACTTTTTTGGCACACCTCCAAGTATCATTTTGCATATTTCGCTTTGGAGACCTTCGGGCTTGAGGATGGTCAAACTCATTAATAACTTTAAACTCATTAATAAAGAAGAAAATATATAAGATATATAACCTTGGCAATATCTAAAAATATTGCCAAGGGTGCCATACAAGAAGAGGATAAACTGGTATCACATCTACTAAGAAAGGAAGAGATAATCTGGCTTTACAATAAGAGTCAAACTAGCACCCATGGGCATCAGTACAATATCCAGTTATTGCTACCCATCGTATTGATTAAGACTGTCAATTGAAATTAAGCAGCCTAAAGCTCTTGTAAATCTGAATAGCAGTGTTATAGCCAGAAGTGATTAATCCTAAGTAAATCCACCTATTTATCCATTTGCCAATGTTTCAATTTTCTGTAGCAGAATTTAATGAAGTTATATCTCTTTTAATTTATTTTGACTTCTCAATTTATAAATACAGTTTCTGAAATTATAGATTATATCTAATGCTAAGAAAGTTACATATTTAGCTTTAATTGTAACGCCATCTTAGAATGGTATCTGTTATGCTTTTGCATATTGTTGAACACAGTGTTTTCATCACACTTTACGTTTATAACAAACAATATTTTCAAAAATTAAGAACTACAGTGAAATTCATCTACTTTTTTCAGAACGTTTTATAGTAAACTCTAATATGAAGTGTTAGAATCGCTTATGTACAGATTATGAAAACCATTAGATTATGGATTATTATGGAGACCAAGATTCTGGATTATGGAGATTATTATATTCATGTTACCACAAATTTAATTTAGACAACCCCCATTTTTATGCAGTCTGCATTTTATAGTATGGGGAAATAACAAATTTATTCTTATTTCCAGATTGGTTATACTAAACCAAAAATGTTTGCTTATAATTTATCTGCTGACTCAAGTGTGTAATTCAATATCATTTTAAATATTTTGATTTTGGATTAAATTATTTTGTTATAGAAGCATTATTTCACTTCAAAATTTCTATTGTCACTTTTCTTTGGTTTTCACATTTGGAGTATTAACTTATATTATTCAGGTAGTTTGTAGCACATAATAAAGTACTTTTTCTTGTAATGCTTTCAAAAATAGTTATTTTCAATAAAATGGGAAGAAAAGGCTATAAAATTCATGGAAATTTTAATAAAAAATTTCTGCAGCAGAGCTGAACCAGAAATGTCTATCACATGTGATTTGCTGTTTGTTCTGTTGTAAATTTAGGTTACCTGTTTTCTACAAGGAATACCTGGCAAACTAAAATGATTTTAAATGACTAAAAATTTCTGAAACTTTTACACTGTGTAGTTATTCCATCATTGTCATTTAAAATTTGAAAAATATTAAGAGTTGCAACCCTCACAAATGCAATGCTGTGGCAGAAAAACATTGTTGTCTATTATCAAATACTGTGTTCAAGGATGCCAGAAATAAAGAAAACTGCAATTTAACTGAACTTGCCTGAAG